GTGGAAGTTTGGTGTGTTAGTATCCAGCAGGGTTAGCTTTGAAGAAAGAACCTCAATCATTGGGGCCTTGGCTTTGATTGCAAAATAAAGCCGTACTTTACTTGGAATTGCACTCACTCTTCCCACTGAAGTCCAAGAAGGCGCTCCATTTTGCCTAAGACATGAAGGTGGGGAATGGAGAACGCGTTTTAGAATAGTCTGTGTGTGGGCTTTCAGCCAGAGGTTTGGCGTGTGGGAAGGGAAGGGGTTTTTGTCAGAGAGTCATGCAGTTCTATTCTTTCTACCTGCCACACAAAACAGAACAAACAATGAAGAAAATATTCAGACAAGAATAATATAAAGTGTCCCTATTCACCTAAGTCCGTATACACCTACTGGTTTTAAGTTTTTTATTTAAGTAAACCATACACCCAGTGTGGGGCTTAAACTCACGGCCCCGAGATCCAGAGTCACATGCTCTTCTCGCTGAACCAGCCAGGTACCCCCCACGGTAGTTTTTTAACGCTATTATACCACAACGCTTGATAGCTTATTCTAATAAAGGAGCATGTGATAAATCCGTTTCCGTGGTCTGCATTGTTTTTTGTTTTGTTATTTAAATGATGATTTTCCTGACAGAACTGGATCTCTTTGCCTCTCATGATTACAGTAGTCCCCCCATATGTCTGGTTTTGCCTTCCACGGTTTCAGTCACCTGTGGCCTAGAAGCACTCATCATCTTTCTGACGTACGGGCAGAAGGTCATTAATAGCCTCACGCTCTGTCACCGTGCCTGCGTCACTGACCTCACTTCACCTCATCACGTGGCCATTGTGTCATCTCACATCATCAGAAGGAGAACGGTGGGTGCAAATACAGTGAGATATCTTGCGAGAAAGACCACACCCGCGTGACGTGTATTGCAGTGTATTCTAATAATTGGCCTGTTTTATTATTCTTGTTCATCTCTTACTGTGCCAACCTTAAGAACTGAGCTGAATCACGGGTGTGTATGCGTGGGAAAAAACATAGTATATGTAGGGTTTGGTGCTGTTGTGGTTTCGGGCATCCACTGGGGGTCTTGGTCCCTTGCAGATAAGGTGAGACTGCTGTCTATTGTAGTTGAGTTGGACAGAAACAGTAGTTCACAGACCACCTAATTCACTGAGGGGACCATAATTTGTTTAAACCAGGTTTCTGGGCCACCGTGGCCAACGGTGGGAAGTTCGGGTCCCCGTGTGAGCTTCACACGGGGAGAATCCTTGTTAAATTCTAGCACTCCCCTTTTGGAAATAAAGTATCCTGGGGATCTGTTTCCAACTGGGCAGTGTGATTCTGAGCCATCACTGAGAAGAGCCAGCTGATTTTCACTTGCTGTGACAATGGATATGGGATAGGTACATATTTATATCTTTATTATTTTTTTTTTACGTTTATTTATTTATTTGGAGAGAGAGGCGGAAGGAGAGAGCATCCCGAGCAGGCTCCGCGCTCAGTGCGGAGCTTGACGTGGGGCTCAAATTCATGAACCATGAGATCTTGACCAGAGCCAAAATCAAGAGTCAGACGCTTAACCGACGGAGCCCCCCACGAAGCGCCCCCATATTTATATATCTTGATATACATCACTAGTGAAATGGAGAAAGGGCTGACCT